TAGGAAACATTGGACTTAACACTTTCGAACAAATGAACTGAATAGACATATGTCTACGCTCATCAATTTGATTCTTTTCAAAGAAAGAACTCTTTGTTTTGTTTCTTTATAGTGTACTTTTAGTCTCCATTTTACTAATTTCTGCCCTAATCTTTAGTATTTCTTTCCATCTACTGATTTGAGGTTTGGCTTGCTCTTCTTTTTCTAAGGCCTTGAGTGCATCATTATGTCATTTATTTGAGGTGTTTTTAATGTAGGCATTCAAAGTTACAAACATCCCTCTTTTTTTTCTTTTTTTAGTGGTAATGGGGTTTGACCTCAAAGCCACTCCACAAGCTCCTTAGAAACTTTCCTCTTAGAAATTCCTTTGATACATCCCACAGGTTCTGCTGTTATGTTTTTGTTTTCATTTGGTTCTATGAATATTTTTTTTAGCTGTACTAGAGTTTGAACTCAGGATTTTGTGCTTGTGAGGCAGATGTTCTACAATTTGAGTCATGGCTCCAGCCCTCATTTGGTTCTATCAGTTTTTAAATTTCCTCCCTGATTTCTTCAATGAGCCACCAATTATTCAAAAGTTTATTGTTCAATCTCCATGTATTTGTATTCTTTCTCTTGCTACTGATGTCTAATTTCATTCCATTATGGTCTGGTAAGATATGAGAAACTTTCAATTTTCTTAATACTTCTTAATACTTGTCTTATGGCCTAAATTATTATCTATTTTGGAGAAAATTCCCTGTGCTGCTGAGAAGAATGTATATTCTGCAGCTTCTTGATGGAGTATTCTGTCTGTGTCTGTTAAGTGTATTTGTTCCATGGTGCAGTTTAATTCTGAAGCTTCTTTGTTGAATTTTTTTGGTCTGGATTTACCCCTCTATTGATGAGAATGGGTATTGGAGTCACTCACAATTATTGTATCTAGATCTGTTCCTTTATATTAAATAGTGTTTGTTTATGAAATTGGGTCCACCATTTGGTGCTTACAAATATTTTATAATAATTTTGTCTTCTTGATGGATTGTAACCTGTATCAAAATATAGTGATCTACTTTATCTCTTCTGAATGATTTTTGGCTTAAAGTCTTCTTTGTCAGTTATAAGCATAGACACTCTTGCTTTCTTTGGTTTCTACTTACTTGGTATTTTGGTAGATTATTTCCCATCCTTTCACTTTTGGTCTGTGTGTTCTTTCCAATGAGGTGTCTGTCTTGCAGACAACAAATAGTTGCATCTTGTTTTTTTAATCCAATCAGCCAATCTGCAGCTCTTCATTGGAAAGTAGGAGCATTTACATTTAAGGTTATTATTGAGAAGCTTTTGCTGATTTCTATAGTTTTGTTTTTCTTTTTCAGGTGGATTTGAGTATTTTTGTTCTATTCATTCTCCCTTGTTCCTCTTAAGAATCTGCTGGTTTACTGAGTTGAGTGTGTTTGATTCTTTACTTCTCACTTGTTATATATTCCTTTCTAGAAATTTATTCTTCACTGGACTCTTGGGTTTGTGACTGTCTTTCTTCCTGATCTGTGTGAACAAGTCCTTTAAGTATCTTCTGCAATGCTGGCTTAGTAGTCATGTATTGCTTTAATTTGTGCTTATCTTGGAAGGTCTTTATTTCTCTACTGATGTTAAAGGACCACTATGATGAATATAGTGATCTTGGTTGGCAGTTATTTACTTGCAGAAATTGAAATATGTCATTCATCTTTCCTGACTTTTAGGGCTTCTGCTGAGAGGTCTAACGTAATTGTGATGTTTGCCTCTGTATGTAAGTTGGTGTTATTCTTTTGCAGCTTTCCATATTCTTTTTGTTGTTGTTCTATAAGCTTGGCATTTTAACTATGATGTCATCACATTATATTCTATCATGTCTCTTTGGGGTTCTAAGTACCTGCTGTACTTGAATGTCCATATCTTTTCCTAGATTTGAAGAACTCTTCACTATAATTTCATTTAATCAATTTTAAGTGCCCTTAGTTTGTATCTTAGCTCCTTCTTCTTCCTTATAAATCCTTTCTTTCTTTAATTAAAGAGGTTCACACTTGAAAACTTTCCTCTACTCTTTGAGCCATGCCTTCAATCTATTTTGCTCTGGTTATTTTGGAGATGGGAGCTCACAAACTATTTGTCTAGGCTAGCCTCAAGCCACAATCCTCCCAATCTTAGCCTCCCAAAAGCTAGGATAACAAACATGAGCCATCGGTGCCCAGATATCCCATGAATTCTTAGGTTTCATCTATTGATCATGGCCCAGATTTCTTGAAATTTGTGGATATATTTGTTTGTTTTTTCATTTATTTCTGTCTGGATGTAATATTTCTTCAACTTAACTCTGTCTTCAGCCACTGATATTCTTTCCTTTTTTTCTTTCATTTCTTCTTCTTCTTTTTTTTTTTTTTTTGGTGGTGCTGGGGTTTGAAGTAAAGGTGCTCTACCACTTGAGCCATTCTGCCAGCCCTCTTTCCTCTTCTTGATTTAGTCTATTGGTGATGCTTTCCATTGTGTTTTAAAAGTTAATTTACTGAGGTCTTCATTTACAACATTTCTTTTTTTTCTTTCTTTTTTTTGGTCTTTTGGTCTTTGAATCTTAATATCCTAACTGAATTTCTCGTGCATGCTACTAACTTTCTCATCCAGTTTTGTTTGTTTGTGTTTGTTTTTGTTTTTTTGTCAGAACTGAGGGTTGAACTCAGGGCCTCATACTTGCTAGGCAGGGGCCCTACCACTGAAGCCACTCTGCCAGCCCCTCCCCCAGGTCTTGAATTGACTTCCTTACTACATTCATCTGTTTGTTTGAACCATCTTTGAAGTCATTGATCATTTTTAAAGTATATTTTTGAATTGTTTGATATGTCAGTCATTTCATTATCTTTGGATTCAAGATTAAAGATTTATGAGCTTTTGGAGTAGTCATATTCCTTTGCTTTTTCCTATTTCTTGTGGTTCTAGGTTGTGATTTGTATATCTCTTAGTATAGATATATCATCTGGCTTTACTCTAGGGTCTTCTCTTGAGGATTCAATCCCCTTTCCACTCAGAAAGGAGAAAACAAACTTCTGCAACAGTAACAACACTGTTCAGGCCGATGCTGTCTGTGTGCTAGCACCAAGATGGTCAAGGGTCTGTTGACAGCTTCATGGCTGCATTCACTTTAGAAGCTTCCCTTCTTTGCATACCCTGGGCCATGTCTGATATTAATAAGCTTAGTAGCTTATGGATTGGACAGCTTCTCTTTCACTCTAACCCCACCCCCACCCCCCACCCCCACAATTTGTGTACCCCATATCAGCAAACAACCTAACCTACAGGGGGAAGTCCCCCAAGTGCATATGAGAGTAGAGGGACTAAACAGAGCCCTGAGGGCTACACTGGAGGGGAAGAACAAAGGGAACCTGGCATTCTACCTATGGGTAGAATCAGATCTCACCCAGCTTTACATCACCCTGTGGGAAGGAGAACACTAGGAAAATAGAGCAATCTGCTGGGCCTGTGCTTCAAGCTCTCAGTCCCCTTTGGCAGCAGACTGCACTCAGAAGGGAGGCAAATTTTATCTTGGATGCCAGTGAATCTTTAGGTCATGGACTCGGGTTTGGGCTCAGAACGCTTGTCTATGGGGTGGTCCTCTATCAGTCTTTGCCACAGAGGGTGGATCCACTGACCCTCCTGCCTTTCACAGTTTGTGCTCTTACTGCCCATATGTCACACAGTCCATGTAACCAACCCTCTCCCACCCTATGCTTCCCTCTTCTGGCTGTGTCCCAGCTCAACACTGTGGCAGGGTATGTCTAGACTTCCTGACTTCCAATTGTTCCTTATTTTTTGGTCCTCAGTTCCTCAGTTTCAAATAGACCCCTTCCTGACAGTACCCAGCAATAGCACTCAGAGTTATGGCAATGACAAAGTGGTTTCCTTCTCCAAGGCTGGCCTGTCATGCAGGAATCACTCTCACACCAAATCCCCACACTGAATTTAAGACATGTTAGAATTGTGAGCTTAACCTGCTGCTGGGATCGCCAGTGTTTTCACCGGGGCTGCCTGGTTTGCCTTATGGCTGTGGTGGTGGTTTTGGCTTCCCCTTCCCCCCATGGATGCCAGAGCTGGGCTCCAGTACACTTCTCACTTTTCTTTCTGTTTCTTTGGGGTTTTCCAGCTGTCCTGTCACCTCTGTCAGGATTGCTGGTGATGTTCCTTTTTCTGTCTTTGGAATATAGTCTGTCCTGTGCTACCCTGCCTCTTCTCATTCAGTGTCACACAGAGGAGGCTTACAACTGGGGAAAGTTCGGTGATGTCTGGGACCTAGATGCTAGCCGGGCATCAGTGTTATTTCCTGACTCTGATGGTTTTACTTCAGTTATGCAGGAGCATAACCTTGTTGGTGAGAAACACACACTAGTATTTGTACTAGTGAGTACTAGTAAATATTTGTTGGTGATGGAACGTCACTGTAGGTAGGTGATTCTTAAACAAAAAGGTCTTTCGCAGCTTTTCTGTAAGTTGAAGATTGTTTCAAAATAAAAATAGAGGGCAGAAGCATGACTTAAGGAGTAGCATGCCTGCCTAGCAAGCACAATTTTCCAAATTCAAATCTTAGTAACCCCCCCAAATATATATATTATAAAATGCCTAATTTATTTTTTGAATTTGAGGGTGGATATGTAATGTTAGGCTCTATAAACCACAAGGAACAAGGAGGTTGATTCACTGACAGCCCATAATCTCCCCTGTCTGTGGTGGGGTTGGAGTTGTACTCCTCTTTAGCCAGTTGCATTAGGACTGAATAGTTTTTACAAAGTTTCCAATTGACATCAGTTTGTCTAGAATTTTTATTCTAAAGCAGTAACACTGATTTTGAGAAAGAAAAAAGAATCTCTGTTTAATATAATAAATGAGATATAATTGAAGAAATAATTTTTTGAAGAGCACTGTTTCTTTATTGATAGCTGTATCTATTAACAAGGATTATTAGCCAGTAATATGAAGGAATTAGATCTGTTTGAGGATCAGTGGTGAAAGCCAGTCAGCTCGTCATCTTCACGTTTGCCTGTCTCATAACCAGTAAGTTCCAACTCCTTATTTTGTCCAGGAAGAGCTCTGAATACTCTCACATGAATATATTCACCATCACCTACTCTTATCTGAAAAGTATAAAAAAGAATGAAAAAAAGATTTGTTCATTTGGATGTACATCAAGTGAAAGATCTACAGGCTTATAAAGACTTCACTGCATTAAGTCCTTCTGCGTCAGCACTTCTAGACCTGGTGCAGACTCATCTTCCAAACACCTACCACCTTATTTTATGAAAGAAAGGACAGGTTCATGGAATGGCAAGAAGCATACGTCCTAGGTTTATTATTCTTTATTAAAATCTGGGCAGAAATGACAATGCAGAATTGCAGTTTATTTTCATAGAAGCCCAGAGCATAGTAGATAGTAGTCTATATTTTTGTTGATTCTGTTTTCTGACTTCTAAATTGGGATAATCTATTTGCCATACAGGGAGATAAGAGAAAAAAATCAGAATTGCTTAAGAAAATTTGGGCTATATGGTTCTCAAATCTATACTATATTGGAACCTACTTTAGAAATGCCCACTGAGCATTTGAGGACTGAGCAGAGGAAGGTGAGAGCTGCCTCCCTTGTAAAAAGGTTTTGGAGTCGTTGGTATTGAAGGGATGGTAGTTTAAGCATGAATCCAGGACCTGGAAAACCCTTGGTAAAAATTTCTACTTTGGTTTTGAGGGGGGACAATAAAGGCCTGTTTCATGTGGTATTTATTGTTCTCTGATGTTCCTTGATTTTAACTAATGCCATTTATCAAAGTTTACTATAATACTATGATACAAGGATACATTTTATACACAGTAAGATACATTTTATATAAATCATTATATTGATTTCTTATTATAGGCCTAAAGAAAGGTAAAATAATATCCATTTTAAATAATCAGATACAGATTAATAGAGATTAAGTAACTTTCCATAAATCTCCCAGCAAGTAAATGGTAGAACTTAAATGTAAACCTAGATATGTTAGATTATGACATCTACATTGTATTTATTTATTTAGAGACCAGACCTTGATATGTTCCCTTATCTTGCTTGAAACTGGCAATCCTCCTGTCTCAGCCTCCTGTGTGCTGAGTTCTTAGGTATGTGGCACCATGCCTGGCTCAACATCTATGGTCTTTTGACTCTATAGTGTAGCATTTTAAAGTACTTATTTTGTATTTGGAGCAGGGCATCATCCTTTAAAAACATCACTAGAAGCAGCTCTGGATCCAGAGTCTGGGTCTTTTATAGTTGTGTGACCTTTGTTAGTTACTTCATCTTCCCAGGGCTTGAGTATTTGCTTTTTTGTGATTATAAGTGAGAAAGGACATGGACAGCTCTGAGAAGCATCCCTGCCACATTCTAAGTGTTCAGTAGATCATTTGTCCCATTATGCAGGTTACAGGATTAAGGCAGAGGAGGAGAATCTTTGAACATGCAGGATTTGACTAGTAGAACAAGTCAAGCAAAGATTCAAACTCAAGACAGGCACCAGAGCCTGTGGTCCTTCCATTTTACCCATCCTGCCTCTTGATAGGTACTCAAGAAACATAGGGAAAGTCACATCACTAGCAAGACCTTAAATCTAGAGAGTGGTGTTCAGAGCTGAGGAATCAACAACCAGACTGCATGAAGTAAAGAGGCAACTGGGGTCAGTGACTGAAATCTAACAGAATGTTGAGAGGAGAAGAAAACAGAGGGCTGGCTACACAGAGTGGTCAAGAGGAGAAATTTTCAATTTCTAATGAACTTTGTAAGAAATGTGTGAGGGAGTTAATATGTAAAATGTATGCATTTGGATTAATCAAAAATTATTAAAATGATCCCAGTTTTGATGGAATGTTTCCTATCTTTGAACAAAATTATTTTACCTGGAAAACTTTCTTTTCCAGTTGTGATGAAAGATGGCAAAAGGAGGAAATAATGCCATTTTCTTCTGAAGACACCTCAGGGTCTCATTCACATGAGTGTGCTCAGGACTGGAGCTCAAATTTTTTAAGACTGAGCTGGTCCACCTACCTGATTCAGTGCTGTAACTCACACTGAGCTGGCTACCTCCATTTATTTTATGCTAATTACATTTTAGAAATGTATATCTTAAGTAGTTAATTATTTTTAAAGAGAAATAAATCATATTGTTTCCCAGTCAAATGGTTAAAGTAAAAAGTAGGCAAATACACTCAAATGTCTGTTATTACTATTTTAAAAATCATCATTGTTATCTGGATAGGAAGGGATAAAAAGGAAGGAAGGAAAGAGAGAAAGAGAGAAAGAAAGAAAAAGAAAAGTTATTTTTTGGAATGGGGTAGGGCTCAAGTGGTAGAATGCCTGCCTAGCAAGGGGAAGGCCCTGAGTACAAACCCCAGTACCACCACCAAAAAGAGAATGAAAGCTTTCTAAATTCATAAGAAAAAAAATATATAAATACAATGTCATTTTCCAAATTTAGAATCTAGCACTTGAAAGGTATCTTGCCAGCATCTTAATTTAGGACAACCAGAAAGAACAAAGCATATGGCAAGGGAAACAAGAAACACTATATCAAATGAGAAATAAATATCTTTCAGTGCTAACCTTAATGTAAAAATTAGTTCCAGCAACTACTTGAGTTTTATATTCTACAGCTTTAAATTCTTGGTAGGTCTCATTTGTTTTTTCTTCAAGCTGTAGTTTAATCTGAAAAAAGAAAAGAGGAAACAAATTATTAAAGTTGCATTTGTGCACATGTGGAAATATTACAATGAAACCTTTTTGGAAAGTGAATATACACTCATAAAATGTTAATAATAATTTAAAAAGCTAAATTGGACTCTGATTTACAAATCTGTGAAAATCATATTCCTAAATATTCGAGGATGGTAATGAGATCTAAGATCTATTTTCAGTAGAAAAGCAGTATTTCAATAGGAAACACTTATCTTTAAGAAGACAACATTAGGGCTAGAATGCCTCAAGCAGTAGAGCGCCTAGCAAGTGTAAAACCCTGAGTTCAAAACCCCAGTATCACTAAAAAAAAAAAAAAAAAAAAAGATGGCATGGGTTAAAACATCACATTGTGTTGCTTTAGGAGGAATTAATGTCAAATCTATGTGATGCTGCAATACAGTCACTTTGTTTTTCCTTTTTTGGTGTACTGAAGTTTGAACTTAGGGCCTATACCTTGAGCTACTCCAAAAGCCCTATTTTGTTATGGGCTTTTTTGAGATAGGGTCTTCTGAGCTATTTGCCCGCCTGGCTTCGAACTGAGATCCTCCTGATCTCTGCTCCTGAGTAGCTAGGATTACAGGCGTGAGCCACCAGCACCTGGCAATATGGTCACATTTTGATTCATAATACTCCAGTGGTTACGTATGTCTTTGATTAGTAAAAAGCAGGAGAGCAATAGTTACTACTTACTTTATTTTATTGTTGTGCTGGGTAGGGGTACATTGTGGCATTTACAAAAGTTCTTACAGTATATCAAATATATCATACTTGAATTCACCCCCTCCACAATTCTCCTTTATCCCTTCCTTCCCCCATTCCTGGAATAGTTTCAACAGGTATCATTTTTACATTTATATACATGTGTACACAGTATTTACACACATTCACCTTCCTACATAATGGAACTACTGTGTAAACAGCTATTATACTGTATTGTTTAGGGAAAAAAAGTCTGTACCTGTGCAATACAGATGCAGTTTTTCTTAAGTATTTTTGATAAATATTTTTTATACATAATTGGTTGAATCTATGGATTCAGAATTCACAAATACAGAGCTCCAACAGTGTCTATTCCTCTGACACTACAGGGTACATTTGGCTTCACCCCTTTCCTTATTTATAACTCTTTTCTCAAATATTGAGATTGAAGTCTAGCTCTCATTATTCACAATGTACTTATTTGTTCAGATCTAGTTTATGAATGAAGTAGTTTCAGAATTGCTAATCTAAAACCCTGTGGAAAATACATTTACAAACTAAGGTACAGATTTGTGTACAGTTGTTATAAAGACCCTGTGATTACTCTGGGCACACCCAGATAATTCAGGACTTTGCCATCTCAACCTAGTCACATCTTACACTCATTCTCCCCTAATTATGCATGGAACAAATGCTTCTAAAAACAACAACAGATTAGGGGAAATGCCTAGATATTGGGTGTCACATGGCTCAAATCTTCAGATCCTAGAAAATTACCAAATTTTGGTAATTTTGCTTTGTCGGGCAACACAGCTACAGGTTCTAGGAATTAAAATGTGAACATCCTCAGAGGATTACTATTCTCTCTACGACAGGGGATAGAAGCTTAGATGCCAGCACTGCTGAACCAGGTCTGAGAATTGAGCTAGAGAATCTCAAATTCAATATGCAAACTTTTACTAATCCACCAAGTTTTGGATATCCACCCCTCCTTTGTGTTCTTAGCTGGGCTGCTGGCTTGATATCTAGAGTTGACTGTGACCCCTCTGACCTGGTTTCTGCTGCTATACCCAGTTGCTGTTCCCCTTCCTTGGCCTGCCATGAGGAAACAGTGTGGGTTTGCTCCTTGGTTCCCAAAGGAAGGAGACTCTCAGAGAGGAAAAGCTGGTAAAATACATTTCCTCCAGAGTTGTTTGAGATTTTCTTAATGCTGCAGAGCATGGATCTTGGTGAGTTGGTAATTTTCTAGGATCTGAAGATTTGAGCCAGGTGACACCCAACATCTAGGCATTTCCCCTAATCTGTTGTTGTTTTTCAGAAGCATTTGGTCCATGCATAATTTAGGGGAGAATGAGTGTAAGATGATGGTGGCAACATAGGTATGACATATTTTGAGAAATTTATAGTAAGGAAGGGCAATTTTCATAGTAGTTGAAAGGACGGCAGGGGTAGTAGAGATGTCTTGTGAACATCTGTCATCATCCGATAAGTTTTGAAGGAAAAAGTCTGGGAAAGGCACCCAAGATGCAAGAAATAAAATCACCGGCTTACAGAAGCAGGACTAGCTGGGTGCTGGTGACTCACTTCTGTAATCCTAGCTACTTGGGAGGCTGAGACCTGGAGGATTGCAATTCAGGCCAGCCTGGGCAAATAGTTTGAGAGACCTCATCTCCAAAATAAGCAGAACAAAAGTGTGAAGGTGTAGCTCAAGTGGTAGACTGCCTGCTTTGTAAAGTAAGAATTCCTGAGTTCCAACCCCATTGCCACTAAAGCCAAACAAAAATACTGAAATTAAAAAAAAAAAGGACTCCCTGAAGAAAGGAGGACACAAAGTCTAGGACTGAAGGGAGGAATGAGATCCAATGGGGATAAGGTAATTTGTGGCATTTTCTCACCAGATGCCTACAATTTCCTAAGCAGAATAGGAAGTAAGACATTCTGTTTGAGGGATGATGGGGGACAGGAGAGATTGAGAAGCTGAGGAAAGGAGTAACAAATATGACTGAAAGGATGTTGGGGGTCCTGCTGTGGTTGTTCAGCATGAATTCATAGAACTATAATGGTGAGCTTTCTGTGGCTCTGTGTTTTCCTGGAGCAGAAATCTCTGGTCCTGTAGTAGAGAAGCTGAGGAGGGGGCAGGGTTGTGGGCGTGATCTCTAGTTGAGGACTGGAATGTCAGAGCTCGCAGGGTCATAGGAATTAGGGTGGAGGAGTGTATGAAACCTCATGGATAAGAGACGATGGGAGGTAAAGGGGTAAGGGAGAGTATTCGAAGGGGTTGAAAGACCAAAGTAAAGCACACCCACAGTGGGCATACTTTGAGACACCCGTTTGAACATCAACTTAAATATTAATAACAAAAACCAGGACTGAAAAACAGACACAGTGTGTGTGGGGAAGGGAGGCACTAGTGGGAGGAGAGAGGGTGAAGGAAGGAGATCAAGGTGATGGTATATGGTTGATGAACTTCATATACCTATATGAAACAGAACTAAAAAGCTTCTTGTAATTGCTTTAAGTGGGGTGGGGAGGGGGCTGAGGAGGAGAGACAATGGGGGCAATGCAAATAATGTACAATATAAATCTAATCTGAATTGTCACTGTGAATCTCCCCACCCCTGTATAATGAATATATCCTAATAAAAAATTATAATAAAAAAGTTAAAAAAAAAAAAAAGCATGTTGTGATGAAGATGGGAGGGTGAGTGCCCAAAGGATTCTGGTATGGCAGGTTCTTTGGGGTGGGGCAGTGGGATAGTTGACTGACTAGGAGGCTGATATCAGAGAGGGGAACATAAATCTGAAAGCCATAACATGCTAATCTCCAGTGTGCCCAGGATAGTGTGCAGATGAGGTGTTTGTATGGTACCTTGGCAAAAAAAAAAAAAAAAAAAAAAAAAGAAATCATGCTTTGTGTGATTACGAGGAACGGTATTCAACAATCAGGTTCGTTGACTTAAGGTGTGTGTGTGTGTGTGTGTGTGTGTGTGTATGTGTGACATACACATTTAATGTGTAATAATAGCCCTATTTTTAAAAGTAATTATTAAAGTAGCATTTCTTCCCTTCACATAAATGTACTCAGAATTCTCATCCAATGGTGTTTACATGTAATATAATAATGGATTAACAACTAATTCATTGTGGCTCAAGCCATCCATTTGTTTGGTCTTTCATTGCACCTACTATGGCTTCTTATGGATGGGCATGTATGTCTCTTTATTTCCCATATCTGTCTTAACTCCAATCAATTTTGTAAATTTGTCTGAGAGCAGAGACTATTTTATGTCTTCTTTCTTGGCATAGCAACTCACACAGTACTGTTTACATAATCAGTGTATTCTGAATGAGAAAACTAACGTTATTTTCCTTTGAGACAACTTGTCTCCCAAAATAGGAAAGGCAGGTATAGCAATGACTTAGCTGATACAGAAAATCTTGGCAGAGAGAAGGGGCTTCTTCCCAGTATACAATGTACCCAAGTGCTTTTAGCATGCTTTAGTACATGATAGTAAAATGACCCATTTGATCTGTTATCTTTCTTCTGCCTTCAAAACTGTGCAAGTCTTCTCAATCCCAAACTCTTTCCTTGCCTTTCTCTTCTTTCTGACCTGATCCAACATTCCTCTTTCACTCTGATGTCGAATTCCCAGAACATGCAGTTATCACTTTTCTGTGGTACTGTCCCCTCTATTTGTGATGACCTTTCCCTTTTTCCTTCTTCCCTTCCCTCCCTAGTAGGGCTTTTGGTTGTCCACTGTGAGGCTTTCTGATAAATACAGGAAAACCTGCTACTCTTCAGCTCTTCTAAGAATACTTGCATTTTAACAGTTAGTTTTAAAAAATAAAAGTCCATTAAAAATTTAAGAAATAAAGGGAGGGGTGAGGATAGGTAAGACACCTAAAAAATTAGCTAGCATTTGTTGCCCTTAACGCAGAGAAACTAAAGCAGATACCTTAAAAGCAACTGAGGCCAATAGGAAAAGGGGACCAGGAACTAGAGAAAAGGTGAGATCAAAAAGAATTAACCTAGAAGGTAACACACATGCACAGGAAATTAATGTGAGTCAACTCCCTGTATAGCTATCCTTATCTCAACCAGCAAAAACCCTTGTTCCTTCCTATTATAGTTTATACTCTCTCTACAACAAAATTAGAAGTAAGGGCAAAATAGTTTCTGCTGGGTATTGAGGGGGTGGGGGGAGAGGGAGGGGGCGCAGTGGGTGGTAAGGGAGGGGTTGGGGGCAGGGGGTAGAAATGACCCAAGCCTTGTATGCACATATGAATAATAAAATAATTAAAAAAAAAACAACTAAAAAAAAATTTAAGAAATAACACTAAAAAGCAAATAAAAGATAGTGGAGGGCTTTTTCTTTGGAACCCTCTCAAGTCATACTAAGTATGTGATTACCAGTACCTATTCTTGCCTAACACCAGAACAGGGAGCCAACCAATTCTATAATCTTGGAAGAGTTGATATGATTTTCTTACTTATCAACAGCTTTCAAGAATATCTGCCTCTAGGGGTTGCTTGTAGGGGAATGATGGACCTAGTTGCTGTTAAAGTGCTTCCTAAACTGCAGTTTCCTGAATACTCCCCCATCTTCCAACACTTAACTGGGAAATGTTCCCTAAGGCTGTCTCCTGCAAAAGAGACAGATAATAAGTGATAACTGGGAGTTTAACCTCTAACCATCCCACTAATTATCCACCTCAAAGGAAGGAGGGTTAACAAGCAATCTCCATTGTCCCTTCTGATCCCAAAACTATGATTATGAAAAAGTACTTAATTGGGTATTGTTTTATATTAGGTTCTAGATATCTTGACTTCCCCAACTACACTGTTAACTCCTCAAGCACAGAGACCATGTCTTATAGCCCTTAGGCAGCTTCTATAATATTTAGCACAATGCCAGACACCTAGGACATACTCAAGAAATGTACCTGCCATGACATGGTTCACGGAACCATTTTTTGACAGGGTCAAAAATCTGGAGGTAGGCCAATTTCTTAACTAGGTGACTCTTTACCACTTTGAGCCTTGATTTCATCATCTGAAAATTGGATAAAATGCCCTCCCAGCCTGCCTCAGGATTATAAATATCAAATAGGAGGTCAAATGGAGGTCAAGGCTTTGAGAACTGCAGAGCTCCTTTCTGTAGTGAGACAGCACTGTTAATGACTATTTCTCGTTCTATCTGTGTGACAAAGTCAGAGGCAAGCTGAGCAGCAAGAACACATTTTCAAATTAATGATATAATTTAAGACATGGCTCACAGCTGGGCACCAGTGACTCATGCCTGTAATCCTAGCTACTCAGGAGGCACCCAGGCAAATAGTTCTTGAGACCCTATCTAGAAAATACCCAACACCAAAAAGGGATGGCAGAGTGGCTCAAGTGTAGAGTGCCTGCCTGGTAAGTATGAGACCCTGCGTTCACAAGCCCAGTACCATCAAAAAAAAAAAAGAAAAGAAAAGATATGGCTCACAGGTGGCATTATTAATAATGTATGCACATACGAATAATAAAAAAAATTTAAAAAATAATGCAAGGCCTTCTGGTATTCTGGGTATGAGCTGTGGTGTGCACCTGTGGTCCCAGCTACTGGGGAGGCTGAGGCAGGGGGATCTTTTGAGCCCATGATTTAGAGACCAGCATGAGCAATATCATCAGGCCTTATTCCAAAAAAACCTATTGTATCTAACCAGTAGACAGGCCTTTAAAAAAAATCACTAAAATCTGCTGAACCTTCTTTATTGCAAATCTCTGCTGTTTCCTAGTTCCATAGAGATTCCCAGGGTTTTGTTGTTGTTGTTTGCTTTTTGATGTTGTTGTTTTGTTTTATTTTAGTTTTAGGGTCATGGATGATTTCTGGCAAAACAATTTGAAGTAAATAATGTTGATGTCTAAGCCTGTCATATTTTTTTTCTGGTCATTTTTATGCATATTATTTCTGATAGTATTTCCAACGCTGAGACTGCTGGGGCAAGAAGTGTTATTTTCTTTATACAAATGAATTGAGAACTTTTATTTGGCAGCCTATTTTAAATAACCATTTGGGGCCAGGCATGTTGTTCAAGTGCAGTCTTCTTGCTAGGCCCTGGGTTCAGTCCACAGCACTGCTAAACAAATACATTAAATAAATAAATAAACGAATGAATGAATGCCCTTCCCCAGACCTCCCAGGATATCATATATCTCTGGTCTTGTGGAAAAGAGTAGGAGTGGTTTGCAGCTAGGAGCCTGTTAGAGACACAGAATCTCAGGCCCATCCAGCTCTCCTGAGTCATAATTTGTATTTTATCAAGACTGGTAGGTGAAGGGCTGGTGGAGTGGCTCAAGTGGTAGAGCCCAGTACTGCCAAAAAAAAAGGTGTGGTGGGGGAACCACTTGCCAAAAAAAAAAACAAAAAAAACAAAAAAGTAGGTAACTCACATGAACAATAAGCTTTACAACAATCTGACATGGAGATTCAACTGAAGGTATTAATGACTTAATATTACATTCTTCAAGGATCAAAAGCTCCAAGGCATCTATTAAAACCAAACAAATTTCTAAAAGAGAAACATTTAGCTCTAAAAGATGTGTGGTAGTACTTTATGTATCTGACCCCTGAGAACATTCAATGCCCTAAACTTAAAGGGCTCCTCCTCTTCCACTCACAGAAAAAGTTGATTAAGGTTGACAAACAGTTTTATAAAATGACATTTTAGAGAGGAAAAAGTAAGAAAGAATAATGTAAGAATGTGAGGCAACAAATTACAAACCTACAGCCATAATTTAGATTTATTTTATAAAATATACGGTACATAGGCTGGGATGTAACAGAGAGGTAGAGCACTGCCTAACATGCTAGCATGGGTGAGGCCCTAGGTTCCATCCACAGCCCCCCAAAAAAGAAAAGACATAAAATAAAATATGCAATATAGTAAATTTTTATTATACAGGTAATATCTAATCAAACACTTTGAAAACTGTATCACCTTGCTAAGAACATTAAGAGTTCTATTTTTACTGTTATCAGTTGGGCAGCCTGTAACATCCCACAATCACCATAGGCTATATGACTTCTTTTCTTTACTAATTTAATCATTAACTACTAAATGACATTTAGGCAAATGTGAAGGAAGTTTGAAATTGATCACCTTTACAATATTGTTCTGCATTCAACCTATAAAAAACAAACAACAAAAACTTCCCCACGATGCAAAATCTAACTCATCAAGTTAACAGCCTTAGACTTTCACTACATATTGGCTTCACTTAGTGAGACTGGAAAAACTCCGTGAGTAACTGGATTAATACTCCTAGAATCACACATTTAAGTAAAAGCTTTAGAGATGATCTAATAATATACATTCTTCTTTAACAAATGGGGAAACTGAGCTCTAAAACACAATGTGACTTGGTCAAGGTCACTCTTTCAGTGTTGGGATTATTTGAGGTTTCATCTGAATGGGTCCATATTCTGTTTTTAGCCCTCCAAAAACCTGAACAAAACCACATTTCCTAGTGCTCTGGTTTTCATATTTACCCACACCCTTAACATAGTGCCAAACTATGAACCCAGATTTTGGATCAACCTTTTTTTCTGAAATGCATCCACTCACCTTATCAGCAATCTCCTGGATTTCTGGAGTGGCAGGTCTTGCCTCACTCAAGCCTCCAGGTACCATCCTGGCTAGTTGTTTGGAACCAAAGTGATCAGGTCAGCATGGAGAGTCAGTTTTTAAAAGTAGTGTTCAAAAGCTCCGCCTATAGAATGTTCTATCTTCTTGAAAAAAAGCAAAGAGGCACTGGAAAATGACATGTGCCCTAAGGCAAGTCATCCAACTCTTGCAAAAGAATATGTTGGGTGAAATTGGGAGAGTTGAGGGGCCACGGGTGACAAATGGGTGTGCACAGGAATCAGGCCGTATTAAACATCACAGCTCCTCCCTCTGTTCTCTGTGCCAATGTTTCCATCCTGCTGTGTCATCTGAAGTATGACCTGAGAAACCAGTTCCCAACTAGTTTAAACTTCAATCTCCAACACAAAATTTTATATTTTTAAAGGAATTCTTATTGATAATGCCAAGGCTGATTGCTTAAAATTGATTTGACTTTTAAAAGACAATAACAGGATCAATGTGGAAGGCTTTGGTTGGATATGTGTACTTCACTTTTAATTTTTAAAATGCCCAAAAATACAAAGAATAAAATAACATGCACCTATATTTTTGTCACTTAGAGCTAAAAATTTTGTTTTATTTGCTTCATGACTTTTTTTGGTAGTTGTTTTGAAGAAATGAAATATTACCATATGGAGGAGCCCACACCCACCCACAGTGATCTTGCCTTCCACATAGGTGAGTTACATTATGACTTACGTATCTTTCTAGTCCATTTTTGTACTCAGCGTGTTTTATAAATTTTACTTAAATTGTATGCTAACTACATATTCAATGTTATGATCTTTTTGTACTCGACATTTTTTTTTTTGGAGCATGGAGGTTTGAACTCAGAGCCTCGCACTTGCCTGGAAGACACTCTGCCATTTGAACCACTCCACCAACCCTTTTTTGTGTTGGGTATTTTAGAGATAGGGTCTCTCATGCTATTTGCCCAGACTGGTTTGGAAACATGATCCCCCTGATCTCTGCCTTCAGAGTAGCTAGGATTATAGGCCTCAGCCACCAGTGTTGGGCTCTCGATATGTTTTTGAGTCTTTCCATTTTGATGTGCAGGCAGACCAATTTCATTCCATTAATTGCTCCATGCTACATCTGTCTATTTATTCTATCTAACTGCCACATAGTATTCCAATTTTATATCCTCGGTTCCTGGTTGATAAGGATTTTGTTTATTTCTAGTGTTTCACCCTTATAAGTCATATTGTATTTTCCCCTTTTGTACATAGGTGAGGCCTTCTTCAGGTAATTTATATAGAAGCACAGTCACTGTGTGGTGTGAGTATTTATTCCCATTTTTTTTTTCAATTTTGGAAGTTGGTAATACATCCATATGTATGATGAAAATGTTGAAAAGGAACCAAGTTTAAATTTAAGGAATTCTTCACTCAATTTTTCAGCCATCTTTCCATTTTCCAGAAACAACTGCTGGTCTTAGCTTCTTGTGTATCCTTCAGAGATGTCCTTTACACATACAAATGTAGAACTAACAGCACACACATGTACATGTATATTGTTCATACATATTGTACCCTACTACATAAACTGTGTTACAAGAGGTGCTGAAGACCTCTCTCAGCCAGGATGACCTAGCACGTGGAATCCAGAAGCAGCCAAAGCCTTAGGCAATGGCATTTCAAGTGTGAGGCCATCTCTGTCTGCATGCATACAACTATAATGAGCCTATGGATGTCAAGTTGGAAGAGGCTCTTTGTGCCGAGAACCTGGTCAACCTAGCAAGAAACTAGGGGAATAGGTAGATCTAGCAAAGATCAGTTAAAGAAACTAATGCAGCAGGGCACCTGCTCTGGAAATCTGAAGCCCTGAATTCAAACCCCAGTCCCACCACAAAAAAAAAAAAAAAAAAGCAAGAAGTTAATGCAATGAGCAATGAAATGTTAATAAGCTAAAGGTGTGGCTCAAGTGGTAGAGAGCCAGGCTAGTAAGCTCCAAAACTAAAGAAAGCCTAGTCCAAAGTTGACAAGTAGATAGAGGAGGACTAGGACAAGTACAATGGTTTACATAAATATTAGGGGGAGGAATGGACAAGCAAGTCAAATGGCTAGCAAAGGAGTTTTGTGTGGGGGATCAGGAAGACAATTGTACTAGTGAGTAGAATGTGGACTTCAGGAAGAAGAGTGGGCTTAAGCAAGAAGGCCAATATTGAAAATATTGGGAAAAGAAGACAACCTCTTCCTGCCTGTCAAATGCTGGGGATCTTTGAAAAAGAATTTCCAAATGTTACAAGTACAATGTGGAAATCAAAAATCATGGGTCTTGGTATTTCAATGACCTTGTAGAAATTCAATTTTTAATCATAGTTCATAAAATGTCTAACAAAATAAAAAATGCCATACTGATCATCACATCAATAAAGATGAGGAAGGAGTAAAGGTTGGAGGATATTAATACCCAATGACCTCTGGGCACAAAGACGAAAAAGCAATGCTAGGTACATAAACGTCTTCTTTCATTTGTATGTTGCCAAAAATAATTACTGTCTTGTTACTTTACTAAGAAGTTTCAAGAATCTCTCCCCTAACAGATGTTTACTGCTATGAAATACAATGGTCAAGGATGGAATCTTTTTGTATGATATAATTCATACTCTTTTTTTTTTTTGAGTCAGGATTTTGCTATGTAGCCCAGTCTGGCACCACACTGGAGATTACCAGTGTGTGCCACCATGTCCTGTTCCTGATCTTTTTCTGAGAAGAAATTGGCTTTCTTGATTTTGTTGCAGGGTCTGCTCCTTTGGGAGTTGTCCTTAGCAGAATTGCTTTCACTTCCCCTCCCTTTGCCCTAATGCAAGATCACTTCTCCTCCCTAATCCCTAAAGCCTCTCCCTTTTGCACAGCATTCCAAATTCTAAAGAGAAGCTCCACCTAAATCATTAAGATGGCAACTGACAAGTCATCTTTCCTTACATCTACCAAACCAGAAGATCTGGGGACTTTCAGATAACATCTGAATGTATAATAACCCTCCTTTACATCTTCTTTTTCTTTTTTTGGGGGGGTACTGGGGTTTGAACTCAGAGTCCCAAGCTTGCTAGTCAGACACTGTACCACTTGAGCCATGCTGCCAAACTTTTTTTGTGTTGGGTATTTTTGAGATTGGTCCTCTTGAACTATTTGCCTGGGGTTGCTTTGAACCTGGATCTTCCTGATCTCTGCTTCTCTGCCTCCTGAGTAGCTAGGATTAGGGACATGAGCCACCAGCACCAGGCTCTTTTTTTCTTCTTAATCCCATTCATTAACTAACATAACCCATGTAAATTGCAGGAAAGTAGTATGTGTAAAAAGAACCACGGGAACTAAACCCAGGAGGCCAAGATCCTTTGCAATGTTCTGATGATCTGGGGAAGAAGGAAAAAGGAGAAACACGCCCTGGGTGATGAAGACCCAGCTCAGCACACAGCTTCCTGCCCTGCTCTTCCTTTTTCTCCCTATAACAGTGGGTTGAGCTCCAGATTCCTCCAAGATGGAGCTCTGAGGATGAGAGCCCCCTCCATTTTCCAAGGTACTGCCAGTTGAGTAAACCTGACTCCTCCCCACCAACTCTTCCCCTCAAGATTGGCCTTTGAGCAGACCTTAGCCCAGTAAGGATTTGAACTTGATTTTCCAGTAACAGTTATAGATACAGCAAATTCTTACTGCTTTAATAGATTGTCTCTAAATGCAATAAAGTTATATGTTCAACTAGATAGGATTTCTTTTTATTTTTTATTTTTAGATAGGATTTTAATAACTGTTTGTTTTAAAAGCTGAACTTAAACTCTCTGTGTAACCCATTTTGACATTGAATCCATGATCCACTTGCCTTCACCCCCCCACCAATTCTGGGATTATATACATGTGCAACCCATACCTGGCAGTAATTTAAAATGGTGTTCTTGTAAATGTCTTTGCTAATGTTGGAGCTCAGAAAATGATACCCCACAGCTAGGTATGTAGTTTAGTGATAGAGCACTTGCCTAGCATGCACAAGGCCCTAGGTTCAATATCCAGCACCAGCCAGGCACCAATGGTTCACATCTGCAATCCTAGCTAATTGGGAGTCTGAGATCTTAAGGATCTCGGTTTGAGGCTAGCCCAGGCGGATAGTTTGAGAGACCCTATCTCCAAAATAACCAGAGCAAAATGGATTGGCCATGCGGCTCAAGCAGTAGAGCACCTGCTTTGCAAGTTCAAAACCCTAAGATTGAACTCCAGTCCTATCTATTATCTATCATCTATCTATCTATCTATCTATCTATCTAATCTACCAGAAAACAGAAGACAATGCCCCAAAGTAAAGCACTTTGGCATGCTGAGTACTTTGAATGAAGGCCATTGGAGGAGCCTAAGAAACAGAGTCTTTTTAGCTCTGTCTTGCTCTTCTTTCCCTTGCTTCTCTTTCTCCCCCATAGCAGACCATTAGAAACTCAAAATTCCTCTTCCCCAAATTGGATCATAGAAACTTGAGCCCTTTTCCCCAAAAGACAGTGATAAATTATAGAAACATCACTCTAACCTTCCTCTGTGTTTCTGTGGGGGAACTGGCCTACACAGAAATTCTCTGACCTACTTTGTCTGAGAATAGTTCATAAGACCCTCATTCCAGAAGGGGTCCTGCTCTACACCAGAGATGAAGAAATGCCACACAGAGAGGTCAGGATCATTCAGAACAAACAGGCCTTGTTGGTTTTCATGAGTCAGTTTATTATCATTAGGTCATGCCCTTTGTCGAATCATAGCTGTCCATTCTTCATCAAATCTAAGCATAAAAATGGACCTGACCTTTGTATCTTAGTTTCCACAGTCTCCTGTGTCTCATAAAACTTGTATTAAATAAATCTATTATGATTTTCTTTTGATCTCAGGAGTGTGACCCTTATGATGAAGAGGTAAGGTACCATACCCTCCACCCCTACAGTCCTTAGGATTTAGTTATTCCTTTTACAGTGTCTGACTAAATTTTTATTTTTATTTTTCAACTTTAAACTTTTTTTTACAGTGTAGAAAGACTACTAATGACTAAAATTTTGAAATGCCTCTTTTATAAATGTTCACACTTGTTTCTGTGTAGTTTGCCATACAAGGAAGAGAATCATAGGTAGAGTCCAATCCAAGACATAGTTCTTCCTGAGATTGGCAGAGGAAGAATAGTAAATGGGAATAATGGAAGATGAAAATCAATGTGGAGGAACCCAGAGAGGAGAGGCAGGAGGCCAGGTTAGTGAGCTTTGTAGTCAGGAGGCTCCTGGAGTGACTTAGGTTTGATGTCATCAAAATCTGCACCTTAGCCCGTGGTTTTGGCTATGAGTCATTTTCTGTTTGGTCGTAGCTATACTATTGACATCACCCTGCACCATAATTGACTCTCCCTTCTGGAGTCTCCTGCCTTCCTACACAGAGCACTGCCAGCCATCCAGTTGCTCAATTCAGAAGCCACATGTCATGCTTTGTTTGCTTATTTCCAAATCAAATCCATCAGAAAATTTTGCCCTATTTTTTATCAAAAAGAACTGTGTGTCATTTGTTCCCACATAATGCAGAGTGATCTTCTTTACTGATATAATTTTTATGAGTACATATTAATTGTACAATATGAGGGGTTTCATTACAAAGTGATCTTTTGTAAACACAAGTTACATGGAATTATAATTCTGTATACATTCCATTAATATCTTCCCATTGATTTAAAAAAAAAAGGAAACCTCTCAGAATCCGTTATCACGGATAACATGTGTGCTCAGTGGCTGCCCAACGCTCCAACTTCATCTCGTGGCACTTCCCCCTTAATGAATTCTGGAGGCCCTGACCTCATTTAGATCCAAGAGGCATGCCATGTTCTTTCCCATTTCACTCTGCGCACTTGGTGTTCTGCAAGACAGTAACATCCTTTCTCAGTTCTTCTTGTCCATCATATCTCAGCAGAAATGTCACTTGTTAGCAGAGGACTTCTCCCACCCACCTCCTCCTGGTCTCTATTACATCATTACCTTTTTTTCTGGTTGTATTGGGGTTTGAACTCAGGACCTCATGCTGTCAGGCAGGCCCTCTACCACGTGAGCCACCCCCATCCCAACACTTTTTGCTTTAATATTTTTTGGGGCAGTGGGGGAGAAGGTCTTGATTTTTGCTCAGGCCTGCATGGACTGCGATACTCTTATTTATGCTTCCCATGCAGTTGACAGGACAGGTGAGTCAGATGCCCAGCTACCAGTTGAGATGGGGATCTCATGAGCTTTTGTCCAGACTTGGCAGAACCACAATCTTTAGGATCTCCACTTTCCAAGTAGTTAGGATTACAGGCATGAGCCACTGGTGCCCGGCTTCATCACCTTCTTTATTAACATTGCTATTCACATGCTGTGCTTAGTTTTGGTTACTTTTATACTCTTTGTCACCTCGAATAAAAACTGCCATGTTCTCAGAGCCCAGAGCTAGAACAATGCGTGGCACATAGTAAGCATTTAGTAAATGCCTATTGAGTGAATAATCTATTGCCTGTTTGCTTGTCTTTCTCCTCTATTAGACTTGTAGGTACGTGGGGAGCAGAAACCCTCCCTGAGTTTTTCCTCATTATTACTTCAGGTGGCCGGTACAAGGCCCATCACTTGGTAAATGCTCAATATTTGTTGACTGGAGATATGCACTCAAGCCCTCCATCTGGAATGGGTTACAGGTCTATTCAAAAGAACCCTACCTGGGCACTAGTGACTCATACCTCTAATCCTAGCTACTCAGGAGGCAGATGTCATGAAATCCTATCTAGAAAAAAAATCACAAAAATGGGGGCAGAAGGGCAACTGTCATTCTAGAGTAATTCTGAGGCATAGACCCCCATGGGGCCACTCTTTGTCAACCAGCATTAGTGGTTGAGTACCTCCCGAGCAGAGCTCAGAGCTGTTGCTCATGGGAGCAGATTCACATGAGCGGGGGATATGGGGTGGGGTTGGGAGAGCACCGGTGTGGTATATGTGGGAACCAAGGTGAGTGTATTTGGGAAGTAGTTGATTAGTAAGTGATGATTATCATCCCGTAGCTAGGCATCTACTGGGAATGCTGAGAGAGGGGAAAAGCCTCAGCTCTGCCTGCTCTGGCTTACTCATGGGACTGATGCATATATTGCAGACATGTTGAACTGGTGAGCAAAGTTTGGTTACGAGTCAGTTAACAGAAGTTGGCATTTTCCTCAGGAATGCCATCTGTGTGTAGCCCGTCAAAGCCCACTTAAATCACAGGTGTCTATGTAGTGCAGGGAAAAAACCCACTCAGTAAATGTACTGTAATCGCTCATTTTTCCCTTCTGTACTCAGATGGCTGTCACAGTGACAGGAGTAAGATGAACACGTGAAAAATGTGTGAGAAATAGCCTGTTGTGGAAAGTACTTGAGAGAAGAAGAGGGCTGAGCTGGGCTTTGGAGATACCTGGTTGGTTTCTGAGTTTCTCTAAGTGTGTCATTTAAAATTAAAAAAAAAATCAGCTTTATTGAGGTATACTTGACTTAAAATAAATAGTACATATTTGTGTCTATTTTGATAACTTGATACATATGTACATACATGTATACACCACAATCTTTAGTAAAGTTTCTTCATTTTATAACTCCCATACTTCTCCATACTTCCTATCCCCAAACCATCAGTAATGTGCCACTTGTCCTTTTTACATAAATGGATTCATACCATATGTCCTCTCTCTTCTCATTTTTTTTTTTGTTTTTGGAAGTACTGGGTCTTGAACTCAAGGCCTCATGCTTGCTACACAGGTGCTCTACCACTTGAGTCACTCCAACAGTCCTGTTTTTGTGTTTGGTTTTTTCCAGATAGGATCTCATGAACTATTGACCCATCTGGATTTGAATTGTGATCCTCCTGATCTCTGCCTCCTGAGTAGTTAAGATTACAGGCATAAGTCACCAGCACCCACTTGTCCTCTCTTTTTGTATGTTGTTTTTTCACTAGACATAATTATTTTGAGATTCACCCATGTTGATTCGTGCATTAATACTTTATTCCTTTATATCATTGTGTAGTATTTTATTGAGTGGATATACTACAGATTACCTGCAGTCGGACATTTGGGTTGTTTTCAGTTTTTAGTTATTAAAATAATGTTGGTATAAATATTTATGGGTATAACTTTATATGATTTTATCTCTTGTGTGAGTATCAAAGAGTGGAGTGGCTGTGTCATATGGTGGGTGCATGTTTACATTTTAAAGCAGTTTCCAAAGTAAAACAGTTTATACCATTAACTAAAGTAGTTATACCATTTTATTTTTCCAACAATAGGGCATGAGAGTCCCAGTTTTCCTACATCTTTGCCAATTAAAATAATGCTTGTGTTAATCAGAATAGAAACTGACAAGGTATTAAAATTTTGTTGTTTTTGTTTGCTAATTTTTTTCTCATAACATTTTCTTTCCTATGATTTCTCCTTAAACTTTGCACTCAGAGTCTAAGTTGATAAGACAAAATGACAGGTGGGAGCTTTTTACACATGAGAACACAAGAGGTTCTTGGCTTGCAGATCCCATAAAGCTCTGGCTTTTCCTGCCATCATTAGGGCTGAGCAAGGGACCTCTAGGACACTGCAGAGCCATCCTCAGAAGAGGGACTGTGCAGATGCTGGGCCTGAGGGAGCCTACTGCAGTTTTGCCACTGACATCTAAACTGGGCCAGGCCTGGAGAAGGGGCTGTGACCCTTGGAGCAAGAGGAGGGAGGAAGGCGAGAGGCCTCAGTGAAGGGGAGGGAGAGTTCAGGTGCCACCAGTCCCTTTCAAATGTATGCGTGTATGTTAGAAAAAACACAGGAGCTCTTGGTGGGTGGCTCTTGTCACCACAGCAGAACTCAGCGGAACACAGATCATCCAGTGTCATCAATGGTCACGTAACTAGAATCTCTGCTCTCTCCTTGCTCTACTTCAACTTAGTGCACGACAATGCTGAACTCTTTCGAGTATGCTAGGGATGGGCCTTGGGCTCATGCAAGCTAAATTTGCTCTTACCATCATGGGCTACACCCCAGACCCCAAACTCCATTTTTGTTATAGCTCTTCTCTCTGCAAAAGCTCAGGGCAGTGGTTTTCAAATTGTCCTCAAGGATCTCTAAAGGTTTCTCAGAGCTCCCTCTGCAGTGGAGATGAAGGAGAAGAAGCCATGGACGAAGGGGATGAGCAGTTAGCCTTAGGAGGTCTACCTCTGCTCTTTGCTTCTACAGTAGTGACTTGAGAGGGTCAGGAGGAGAAGAAACCTAATTTCCCATAATTCCTATAGAGGGTACTCTCTGTTGTCAATGAAAAATTTTCTTATCAGGTCTCTTTAGGGAGGGAACTGAAATACTCAAACTTGGGTATTTTTGGTGGTACTGAGGTTTGAACTCAGGCTCTCACACTTGCTAGGCAGGTGCTCTACCACTTGAGCCACTCCACCAGTTCTTGAACAAAAGTATTTTTGTTCTGTATTCTGAGGGAGGAGAGACAATACAGGCAGGAGGTAACAGGAGGGCCAGCCTCCACTACAGCAGACCACTCACTCCCTCCCAGCCAAGCCCCATGTAACCAGACCTGCAGAGCTGCCTCAACTTTGCTAACTTCTTGGCATTGTAAGAAGTGCTCAAACTGCTTTTGCTGAAAAGCACTGAGTCCCTACTTGGGCCCACGAATTAACTAAAACCAGGAGAAGCTTGGCATCCCTGCCTCCATTTTGTATCTGTCTTTACTCTAAGCCATTCTCTTTGCAGTCACTTTACAATCACCTTGCATTCCAGAAAGGACAGAACTGATAACATCTTTATGACAAGGGACTAAAACTTCCCATAAGGAATGTGCAGGACAGACCACCCCTCCAAATGAGGACAATTACCTATAATGGTGAGGTTGCACCCTGGAGCAGAAGTAATCATCTTAGGGAAACCAGATTACTCCTCTCAAGTGATGACAGCGATAACATCTTCTCCTGAACCCCTCTGGGAACACTTGGACTGAGCTAATGGTCAACCAGAACACGCCTGTGACTGGGACTGTTTAACTATGCATACCTTTGTCCCCTGCCCCAGTTCTTTTGTCTATTTAAACCTATACCTCATTCTGTACCCGAAGATGGCTAAAGATGAACTGAGTACTTACTCTGCCTCTTCCCATGGCATGTCCTGAGCCATGTATAAATCTTTCTCGGCCTTCACCATGCCTCTTTTGGCATATGCAATCTCAGGAGTTTGGGCCTTGAGTCCAAAACTCCAGTTTCAGCATGAAAGGATATTTTTCAGTTTTTTTTTGGGGGGGGGGTGGGGATTGGCAGGGATACTGTGCACTGAGTTCCATGCCTAGATATATGAGAGCAACATAGAATGAAGAGAGGGGAACAAAGAACCCAAGTCCTCGTAGTCAGCCAAATTCTTGGGCAGGCACAGGGTTTCACCACACCGGAGGGCTCTGTGACTGTGTTGCTCCTAGTTCCCATCTTAATTCCACATGCTCTGGATTGTTTATGTGACAAAGTGTGCTTGAGTACACAGCTCAATAATATGTGCCTACATTTTGGCAATTGTTTATACCATGGTATAAGCTGTAGAATATTTCCTACATCCCAGAAAGTTCCTTCATACCCCTTCCCAGTTGATAGAACAATAATGTCGCCATTTATAAATCAGCGACCGTTTTATTCTCAGACCTCACTTGAGAAACTTCCAAGGACAGCCCCGCCCCTTAACAAAACTTCCCCCACTCCCAGACAAGCTCCACCCAAGCTCTGCCCCCATCAGGGACCCCTGTGCATGCCAACCTCTTACCTTCCCTCTTCTGTGAAAGGCCATGCCTGGCCCAGACTGGCTCTCTTCCTGTGCCACGTTTCCCGCGCCAGCCTGGCAGTTGGGGCCTGCCATTAAACTTTGCTCTATGGACATGAGACTTTTCTTGTGAGCTTTCTTTGTGAGCAGCGTTTTTCCTACCACCAGTCACCACAGTTTGCTTTTTTTTCCCCTGGTACTGGGAACTAGCACTTGAAGGCAAGTGCCCTTCCACTGAGCTAAATTGAAAACCCCAGGGGTTGGGGTTTCACTTGCTTGCCTGGCAAGTGCAAGGCCCTGAGTTCAGTCCCCAGCACCAAAAAAAAAAAAAAAGGAAAAAATAGAAAACCCCATTCACCATAATCTGTTCAACCACTAGTTTTTCCTGTTTTTAACTTTCCATAAGTGGAGGTCTCCTTTTATGTAGGTGTTCTTTGATGTTTGACTCGTTTGCTCAGCACAACTTTTGAGATTTATTCATGCTATTGTATTTATCAATCATTTATTCTTTTTAAAATTGTTGTGTGAGGGTCCAGTGCAGGAACAGGGCATATTTGTTTAGCCCATCTCTTGTGGAAGGACACTTGGGTGGTTCCTAGCTTGTGGCTATTTGGAATAAACCTGCGTGAAGTCTTTTCTCTGTCTCTGGGGTATATACCTAGCACTGGAAATCTTGATACATAGAAAAAAGATACCACATTTCACTTTCTTAGAAATTGTCAAATCATTGCCAAAGTCACTGTACCTTTTTAAGCTCCAGCAGCAAGTCCTGAGAGATCTAGTTGCTCCTTCTTCTCCAACACTTTTTTTTTTTTCCTTTTTGGTGGGACTGGGGTTTGAACTCAGGGCTTTGCACTTGTTAGGGAGGCGCTCTACAACTTCAGTCACACCTCCAACTGTTTGTGCTTTAGTTTATTTTCAAATAGGGTCTCACACTGATGCCCATGTGGAGCTGGCCCATAATCCTCTATTTATGTTTCCCATAGTAGCTGGGATGACGGGCACGCACCACCACATCCCGCTTTCATTGGTTGGGATGGGACCTGGAACAGCAATCCTCCTGATCTCTGCCTCCCAAGTAACTAGGATTATAGGCCTGAGCATAGCACCCGGCTGGGAGACTATTACTGCTTCAATCTCATTGCTTGTTGGAGATCAGTTCAAATTTTTAATATCTTCTTGGTCAATATATATATATATATGTCTAAATATATATATGTCTATGTTTTCCAATTTATTGTAATGTGTTTTCAAAATATTCCTTATTAATCCTCTAAATTTCATTAGTATCTGTTGTAATATTCCATTTTCACCTGTAATTTTATTGATTTGGGTCTTCACATTCTTTTTCTTTAATTTGGCTAAGTTCATCAATTTGATTTCTGTAAAAGAAAGAACTCTTTGGGTTTTTCCTGATTCTTTGCAGTGTTCTTTTAGTCTCCATTTTACTCATTTCTGCCCTGATCTTAGTATTTCTTTCCATCTACTGATTTGAGGTTTGGCTTGCT